TTGGTTTTCGGTGGCTACGGAGGCTTCTGGCGGCGGAACTCCCGATCTATTATGCTCCCCGAAGTTTTTAGGGTATATGGGTATATATGGGAGGAAGAAGTACATCAGTGGACCTCCGGGCTGTCCACGAGGCAGGGGGGCGCGCCCAGGGGGTGGGCGCGCCCCCACCCTTGTGGGCAGCCCGGGACTCTCCTGGTCCAACTTCGATACTCCGTGGGCTTCTTCTGGTCCAAAAATAAGTTCCGTGAAGTTTCAGGTCAATTGGACTCCGTTTAATTTTCCTTTTCTGCGATACTCTAAAATAAGGAAAAAACAGAAACTGGCACTGGGCTCTGGGTTAATAGGTTAGTCCCAAAAATAATATAAAAGTGCATAATAAAGCCCATAAACATCCAAAACAGATAATATAATATCATGGAACAATCAAAAATTATAGATACGTTGGAGACGTATCATGCCCCCCTGGTGTTGATTCTTTCGCCAGTATATTTTATGAATTCCAAAAATATTCTCCGTGAAGTTTCATGTCATTCCGTGAACTTTTATTTCTGCACAAAAATAACACCATGACAATTCCGCTGAAAACAACGTCAGTCCGGATTAGTTCCATTCAAATCATGTAAGTTAGAGTCCAAAACAAGGTCAAAAGTGTTTGGAAAAGTAGATACGATGGAGACGTATCAACGTCTACGCCATAGAGCCGGTCGCCTCAAAATTCAACCCCTGACCGGCTTGTCCAATCACCTTAGATCGTAAGGACCACCCGACTAGTATCCGTCATGGAGGTTCGGCAGCCTTGGTCCTTGATCCAATCATCGACCGATCCATCTCACCCGAGTCCTCATGGATGGCGGCAGCTGTCTTAACTTGATTTATCAAGACACGGTCCGCAAAATGGGTATTGACCCATCAAGAATTAATCCTACTAACACCACCTTTAAATGAGTGATACCCGGCGTAGAAGCCCGCTGCACGGGCTCAATAACATTGGAAGTAGTCTTGGTTCACTGGATAACTTCCGAAGCGAAGACTTGATCTTCGACATTGTCCCCTTCCGTCCGTAGTTAGTAGCTAGATGGATTCCTCTCTCTCTCTCTCTCTCTCTCTTGATTCTCAATACAATGGTCTCTTGGAGATCTATTTAATGTAACTCTTTTTATGGTGTGTTTGTTCGGATCCGATGAAGTTCGAGTTTATGATCGGATTTTTATCCATGAATATTATTTGAGTCTCCTTTGATCTCTTATATGCATGATTATTTATAGCCTCGTATTTCTTCTCCGAATCTTTGGTTTTGTTAGGCCAACTAGATTGATTTTTCTTGCAATGGGAAGAGGTGCTTTGTGATGGGTTCGATCTTGCGGTGTCCTTTCCCAGTGACAGAAGGGGCAGCAAGGCACGCATGTATCGTTGCTATTAAGGATAACAAGATGGAGTCTATTCCTACATGAATAGATCTTGTCTACATCATGTCATCGTTCTTATTGCATTACTCCGTTTCTCCATGAACTTAATACACTAGATGCATGCTGGATAGCGGTTGATGTGTGGAGTAATAGTAGTAGATGCAGGCAGGAGTCGGTCTACTAATCTTGGACATGATGCCTACATATTGATCATTGCCTTGGATACCATCATAATTATTTGTTCTTCTATCAATTACCCAATAGTAATGTGTTTACCCACCATGTGCTATTTCTCGAGAGAAGCCACTAATGAAATCTACGGCCCCCGGGTCTATCTTTTATCATAATTGTTTTCCGATCTATCTTTTCCCATATTTATTTTCAGTATTTCCAAAAATCCAAAAACACCTTGCTGCACTTTTTCTTTATTTATTTTATTTTGCATTTTATTGAGATCTATTTATGCAATCTACCACAAAACAATTTATCTTTTTACTAAGGAGGGATTGACAACCCCTCTTACGCGTCAGATTGCAAGTATTTGTTCTGTGTGTGCAGGTACAATTTACATAGTTTTGCACTTTTGCTTGGTCCTCCTACTGGATTGATACCTTGATTTCATAACTGAGGGAAATACCTACCGTAGATGCGTTTCATCATCTCTTCCTCTTTGGAGAAATACCGACGCAGTTTCAAGCTGCATCAGGGCCCCCCCTGAGCTTGTGGCCACCTCGTGGCCCTTCTGGCCTCCTCTCGAAGTTTCCAGGGTGTCTTCGTTTGGTATTGATTTTTTGTAAAGACAAAAACAAGCGAAAATTAACAACTGGCACTAGGCACTACGTTAATAAGTTAGTCCAAAAAAAATGATATAAAATAGCATAATAATGCATATAAAACATCCAAGATTGATAATATAATAGCATGGAACAATCAAAATTTATAGATACGTTGGAGACGTATCAGCAACCTACCCGATAAGGGTAGCGCGCACACATAACCTTCCCTAGTTGGAGGTACCGGCGAGAGGCATGACAGTAAATTGAATTAGGGCTTCCCCATTTAGGCAAGTGTGGTTGCACTAGTGAGCTCGATTTGGTGGCACTATGACTCAGCGAACAGATTTGTTCAAGTTCGATTAATGTCAAGTTTAACTTATATGGTGATGATATGCCATAGAAAAATAACATGATCAATGCTTATGAGTAGGATATCAACATAAACATGGATGGGCAACATAACCATTTAACATATGCATCTTAAGGTCAACAACAATAAATCATTAGTTTATTGAATGCAAAAGAGCATGGCATAAAGATGATCATGAATCTCACAAGTATTTTCATAACGAACCATAACAATTCGTATGAGCATATCATTAACACTAGCATATGCATTGATTACAAGAATTAAACATGAGAATAATGATACTAGCAAATAATCATTTAACTTACTAGATGCAAATGAGCATGGCATAAGAACGAGCATGGATTTACAAGCATTTACAAAATAATTGCATGAACACACAATTATTTAATCATTCAAGTGAAACCCATGGCTATTGCAATGCCATCATGCAAGTTGCTATTGTGGCTTACCCGGGTTGAAGGATTCACTGCGAAGAAATGCGAGAAGCTCGCGGAAAGATTTGCCGAAAATGTTTCTGTCTCAAAAGGGACTGAACAAGGGCAAGGGAAAATGGTCATTTTCAAAATGTGACAACATCATGAAAATGGTACCAACAGAACGGCTTGACGAATAGAGAACATGGGCTTCTAAATCACCTGAAATGGAGTTACGTTTGCAGAGATACGACTGTTCGTTCGTTAGGTAGAAAATAAATAAACTTGTGTTCATTTCTACTCTCAATGAACGCCCGCCCGCTATTTAACAGTTTCGGCCGGCGGGGTGAAACAGAAAGCGTACTTCAGGAAAATACGCTTTGAGCACAGAAAACGTATTCTTAGCCGAAGTAACAACATAATACGCTTTCTCGAATGAAAAACGTAATCTCCTAAATGCGCTTCCACTTAAAAGTACACTGGCCCTGGGTCAACGCCTTGTTAGGCTAACCGGTGGGGCTCGTGAGTGCTGAGATCAAACGCTCGATTGAAGATAGTATTTTTACTCCTGTTAAAATTTCTAGTGACAAATAGGATTGTAGATTGCGTGGCGAACTTTAGGCGTAGCGGGAAAAAACCGCGCGCTGGCTTAACCACCCCATCTATGTTGGGGAGCTTTTCGGTGTAAGGACATGTTCTCTCCCTATTGACGTCTTTTTTTATCCGGTTTCATTAGTAAACCGAATCAACCTTTTTTTTTTGAATAAACTGAATCGATATCTTTTTGAGCCATCCCTTATGTGTTATTTTAAAAAAATACTTCCTCCTACGGAGGTTGTACTACTTCATCTGTTTTTATCTAATGTGCATATTAGATTTGATTAAAGTTAAACTTTATAAAGTTTGATTAAATATATAAAAAAATAACATAAACATTTACCAAAACAAATCTATACGATGTGAAAGTACATTCAATAATGAATATAATAGTATTGATTTGTTATTATAGTAAGTATATATTAATATTTTTGGCTTTAAACTTTGTCAAAGTTTGTAAAGCTTGACTTTGACCAAAGCTAATACACAGAGTAAATAAAAAAGGAGGGAGTACTAAGTAGGAAAGATCTCTATCTCTAATGTCAAAAGAGAAATGAATCTGGAATCACCGCTATTTTCTGCTACCTGATTCTCGATGGACACGGTCCACATTTACCGCCCAAGTTAATGGCACCGCACGCAGATGGACCCACGCACCAGCTGGCCCACGCTGCGTGCCTTCTATGCGCCTTCCACGAAGGAATCCGGCCCCACCTGCCGGTGACCCTCCAAGCAGCTCCCTATATAGACTTGCTCGTGTGCGGCCATCTCGGCCTCCCTCTCTCTCCTCCATTTCTCTCCTCCTCCTGCCACCGATCCCGAACCAGGGAGGAACCCGGCGCGAGGAGGGCAAAGGAAGAGAAGAGGAGACCACCGAGCCCAGCGCGCGCACACGACAGCAGGCGCCGCGATCTCGGTAACCACCATTCGCCGGATCTCTCCCCTCCCCCCGTCGACCCTCCTCTGATCCGATCGGCGGTTTGGTCGGCCGATTCGTGATCTTATTTTGCCGTTGCCGTGATCGCGTTCAGTCCGCGTGGTTCTGGTGGATCGGGGGCGTTCGATCTCATTCATCGTCCCGTCGGTGTCCGGTAGATGCGGTCGGTTTTTTGACGGTGTGATTTGAGGAATCCGCTGCGCTTGACCGGCTTCGGTCGGCCCAGCTTTGTTTCCACGCGGGTGCTCGGGAATCCGGCACGATTCCCGCGCGAGTTGGTCGCGAATCTGGTCCGGTTTGGCGCTGTTCGTGCGCGGTGCGGCGGATCTGGTTGCTGCTCGCATCAGATCTCGTAGATCTAGTTGGGTGGCTTCGATTCTGGAGATTTTTTATAATTAATAATAATACTAATTCTTATAACGAGCCTGTGTCTGTGTGGATCTATGGGGTTGACGCTTTGGCCTCAATTTTGTTTCGTTTGGTTTCAGCGCAGGAGCGGAGATGGGGCTCACGTTCACGAAGCTGTTCAGCCGGCTCTTCGCCAAGAAGGAGATGAGGATCCTCATGGTCGGTCTCGATGCGGCTGGTAAGACCACCATCCTCTACAAGCTCAAGCTCGGAGAGATCGTCACCACCATCCCCACAATCGGTAAGCCCACGTTCTATGTAAACTTTCTGTACAGCATGTTGTTTATCTTGCTGTTACTTTGTAAATATATAGTCTCAATATGTTGTGGCAGCTTTAGCTTCGGACCGTGTGCATGTAATGAGTGTTTCATGGTAGGCAAGTTAGAGACCATTTTAGTGCAGAAACGGTCTTGCCTGCCTTAGGAATAACATTAATGCTTTTGGTAATGAAGATTACTTGAAGCTGATCACGAGTTGATTATATGTTTCATTTGTATCTTATTTTGGTAGCTTATGTATGTGCTATTTTCTGTAAACGAACTTCACGTGCCATGTTATTTGTACGTACATTAAAGCTTTTATATTTGAAAAGCAACAAGTTGTCCAAAAGAAGCCTAATTGAAGACAAACCATTCATGTTTAAGGTTGCAAGTTGTCTGCTAATTGTTTTGCATATCTGCAAGTTCAGTTTGATAATTGAGCTTGGGAGTTCAGTCAAGTCAGGATAGAGTGTCTGCACTGTAATTGTGATCACACAGATCCAGGTGTGTTAGCTCTATCATAGTGATCACACAGATTCAGGCGTGTCAGCACTATCATAGTGATCACACAGATTAAGGCGTGTCAGCACTATCATAGTGATGAGCGATAACACTCGTTCATGTCATTTTTTTTTATTGTCATGTATATTGGATGAAAACAATTATGTTTAGTAACCATTAGCAAATGCTGAATCATTCCAAAGTGGCAACTCATGAGCCGCATAACCTCCTGTAAGAGTTCTGACTGGTGTCTGACCTTGACATGCTTGATATTTTTCTATTAACAAAGATATGCATCTCATGCTGTTGCTGTGTGTTCAGATGCTTATTTATCAAGGATTTTGACCATGTTAATGTTCTAGAACTTTACTCTGCTACTTTGACATCACTGTCTACATATGCTGATGAAATCTGAATGTTTTTGGATATGCAGGGTTTAATGTCGAAACTGTAGAGTACAAGAACATTAGTTTCACCGTTTGGGATGTCGGGGGTCAGGACAAGGTAAGCAAAGTTCCTGAAGGCCAATAATTTTTGTTTGGCCACATATACCTTAGTTTAGTCATTTATATAGCAGTTGCACTATTGGAATTACACTGAGGGGCATGCCTTCTTTGAATTGCCGTTAACTTCATCTTCTAATTGGAATTTTGGAATGTGCCATTGTGTTGTACTCCCTCCGTCCGGAAAAACTTGTCCCTCAAATGGATGTATCTAGCACCAAGTTAGTGCTAGATACATCCATTTGAGAAACAAGCTTGGGACAAGCTTTTTCGGACGGAGGGAGTATTGAATATTTCTATCTTCATGTTGTGATCTATTTTCCTTGTGTGCTTCTCATCTAATGTTTTGTGCACTTGCTCAATACAGATCAGGCCCCTGTGGAGGCACTACTTCCAGAACACCCAGGGTCTCATTTTTGTCGTGGACAGCAATGACAGAGAGCGTGTTGTTGAGGCAAGAGATGAGCTTCACCGGATGCTGAATGAGGTATCACTATAGGAAATAAAGCAATGTCAACACATAGACTACTATTTAAATTCATAAGTGGCTTATGTTTTGTAGATTCCTTCACTAGGTTGTCGGATACTTATTGGATGTAATCTCTTGTCTATTATACTTAGCATAATAGTAAATGTACTAGTGTCTCTCTGACAAGGGAATATCACTGTTTTAAGATGCTGCCTTGTGGAAGGTTAGCTCTTATCATCATTTCAGTGGCACACTTATTAATGACGGCAATGCTGTATTATTGTTATAGGATGAGCTGCGTGATGCTGTGCTGCTGGTGTTTGCAAACAAGCAAGATCTTCCTAATGCCATGAATGCTGCTGAAATCACTGACAAGCTTGGCCTGCATTCCCTGCGCCAGCGACACTGGTATGGTTTCTAATCTATGTTGAATGGAAGTTACCTTGTTTGACAATAGTTTTATGATTGATCTCCAATAACACGACTATCTTAAATAAGTACAGCTATTCTCTCTGTTCCTAAATATAAGTCTTTTTAGAGATTCCAATATGGACTACATATGGAGCAAAATAAGTGAATCTACACTCTAGACTACGTCTATATATGTACATCCGTATGTAGTCCATATTGAAATCTCTACAAAGACTTGTGTTTAGGAACGGAGGGAGTATATTTTAATATATGGGAAGCAACAAAACTTGAATATGTGTAATAATAGTCTTGTCTTGAGGTGGTGATACACTGGTACTACTATTGTTACACAAATTAACATCTATTCACAAGCCAAGTACTCATTTTGTACCACCGAACCTATGTTTTATGGCCTTTTCTATGAAGACTCAATTTACAGTAACTTGCTCTGAACTTATGTTTTGCTACTTGTTTCAGGTACATCCAGAGCACATGTGCTACCTCTGGGGAGGGGTTGTACGAGGGCCTTGACTGGCTGTCCAACAACATTGCCAACAAGGTGCGTCAGCTGGCCTTATGACTATGTGCCTTGTTTTTTGACCAATTGTTCGAACATCCATACTTATGGCAGCTAGGTCCATTCGATACTTGATGGTTTTGAAATAGTGCAAACACACATGATTTCCCAAGCTGCCACCTGGAACATGGAAATAAACTGTACCTGGCAGCTTTAGTATATGAAAATTCTCCAGTTTGCATCTTTCTCTTCTGTTGTTGCTACTTAGTTCTACTCCGTGTTTACTCTCTTTGGTGTCTTTTTGGATTGGTTTCTGCAACTAACCGCCTGTGTGTAATTTCCTGATATATAGGCTTGAAGCATCTCGGCAGGGGCTTCTATGGATCTGGATAAGCTGGATATTCGGACTAATACTGCCTTTACGTATTATAAACTATATAGTCTTGACAGATAATGTGGGTGTTTTGGAAAGATAAAGCTCTCTGTCAAAGAGCTAGCTATCAGATTGTTTTCGTGGGTGTTAAATTGTCCGTGGCGCTGTTTGTTTGCCCATCATGGCTTTACTATGTCCGCTCTGTACTCTGTACTCGCCACTCCGACAGACTTGATACATTGTAGTATTGACTTGTCTTGGCATAGTTTGTCACCGTGTCTTCTGAATTGCTATCTCTTGTGTTGATTTCATGTGCAAAGTATGTTTTCCATCCCGAAACAACGTGATCAACTGGAAATGCTGTGCAAGGGGCATTCCATGGTCTCTTGATGACCAAATTTTCTTGTATGTTAGGGAAGGCAAAAAATGGTTTAGACAGTAATATTCCCCTTCCCCAAGCTATTGGAAATAGGAAACGATACAAACACTTGCATCATGTGGAAGGCGTGGCTGCGGACATCCTGGCTGCCTGCGTTTCCACGGTTGCTGAAGCGGGGCACCTGGTTCAATTGCCGTTGAGCCATATGAAAAAAAAGTCAATTTATGTCATTTTAGGCTAGACAGTGCAGAATTCACGGCCAGTAAGCACCACTTAGCTCGTTAAAGAATCTGAAGTGTTATGTGGGGAGAAAGAAAACACGTATACTAAGAGCATATAGAGCCGGGCGCCTCAACACCTCGGTCTACCGCCTGGTCACTGACCGGTAAAAAAAACCCAATCCAGACAGACGTCTCAAACTGGCCTCAAACGCCGACGCTCACCGGCATCCCTTCTATCCAGCCCAAATCTGGGGCAGATATGGGGTGGTTCGGACGGATGGCCCGGTCAAAAAAAAAAAAAACGATCCAGACAGGCTCCTCAGACCAATCTCAAACGTCCAGGCTGGCCGGCACCCCTCATATCCAACCCAACTTTAGAATGGATATGGGGTGGTTTGGGCGGACGGCCTAGTCAATGACCGGTCAAAAGAAAAGCAATCCAGATGAGCTCCTCAAACCGGCCTCAAACGTCCGGGCTGACTGACACCCCTCATGTCCAGCTCAAAGCTAGGGTGGATATGGGGTGGTCCGGACGGACAGCCCAGTAAAAAAAAGCGATCCAGACGGGCGCCTCAAACCGGCCTCAAACGCTCGAGCTAACGGACACCCCTCGTATCCAACCCAAATCTGGGGCGGATATGGGGTGGCCCGGGGGCGCCAGGCGCGTCCGCCACGTCGACCTGATCCATGCTGGTCCATCTGACCCCACATATATCCGTCCCCATCCGCTCCATGGAAAAAAAACCCTAGCCACTTCACTTCAGTCCACTTCACTCCACTCCGCCCCAAAGCTTCCGTCCGGCGATCTCCAGCCTTCCCCACCATGGCAGGCTGCGAATCTGACTCCAACCAGTCCAGATCCGCCGACTGGGGTGTCGTCTCGTGCGGGCTGGAGGAGACTATGGCCGTCCGCATTGCCCTCCGTCACTCCCGGGAGGACCGGACCCAACCGACGGTGGGATCTGTCCGGCGCGAGACCATTGCGTCGGCACATCGGGCGCTCGGATCCTCCCGGGAGCCTTCCAATCTCCCTTTCCCCATCACCGGTCCGCTGGAGTACGAGTGCTAGCGGGGCCGGTGTGCCCGCGCGTGGGAAGGAAAGGATGAGAGTGGCCGAGGCCCGCCTTGCTACCGACATGACGACGATAGATGCGGCGGCACACACTGCTTGAGAGGAGGAAGCAATCCGCACCCGCATCTTAAGGAAGCGGCTTCAGAGGGAGCGACGGGTCGGACAACTCCGGCGAAGAGCAGATCTGTAAGTGCATCTAGTGCCCCTTAGTGATTTTGGTGTATTGAAGACTTATAGGTTAAGGGACTAATGCATTTGTGAGTGTACACAGGTCTATAAGTCTATGAGGAGTTTGATATTTACAGAGAAAGCCGACCCCTAAAAATAAAGTTCTTCGACTGAAGACTTTGGCTTTTTGAAGACTTTGAAAGTGAAGAAATTGGTGTGACCTTGAAGACTTGATATTCATTCGAGGAACATGAAGCGTGAAGACTTTTGTTTTCGTAGTTTCATTTTCTCTTTCTTGAGTCATAGGAAACACCGTACTGTTAAAGGGGGTCGAGGAAATACTAAGGAAAAATTTCCATGTGATGCTCAACTCAAAATCCTACACCTACCAATCCCTTCGAGTGAAGCCATTGGAAATCTCATACAGTCCAGTCATATTCTTCAGTGACAGAGACGAAGTTCTTCTGGTCTCTGAGGAATTTGTTCTGACTGAGGAGTTAGAAATTCGCCAGTGTGGATTGTCTACACAGTGAGGAACATGATAGCCCTGAGGATTTTGCTACTCAAAATTCCGACCGTTGCCGTGCTATGCGCCAGCTGTCCCAAAATATCTATCCACCTAACGGTCATATCATTGAAGGGCATTTATGTCTTATCATGTCGGGCTGCTTCCTAGGCTATAAATAGCCGCCCCCTACAACCACTAGCTGGTTGGCTGCTCCGAGAGAAACTGACACTTGCCATTTGAGAGCAACCCATCCTCCGAGGACTTTGAGAGAAAATCATCAAGTGAGGAAAAATCCAAACCCAAACACCTACAAACCCCAAGTGATTGAGCATCACTGAAGAGATTGATCCTGCGTGGATCCGACGCTTGTTACCTTTGAAGACTGTGCTTCTTCCAGACGGTTAGGCGTCATGGTCTAGAGCATCCAAGAGGAATTGTGGATCACCGAGTGACCAAGTCTGTGAAGGTTCGGAAGTCACCTGAAGACTTACCACGAGTGATTGGACGAGGTCTGTGTGACCTTAGTTCAAAGAAAATACGGCGAAGACTGGGTGTCCTGAGCTGCGTGTTCAGGACTGGGTGTCCAGGACTGTGTGTCCTCGAGTTTAAATACTCAACCGCTCCAACCAGACGTACAACTGAGACAGCAGTTGGAACTGGTCTACCAAATCATTGTTTTCACCAAGCTTACTGGTTCTATTCCCTCAACTCTTTCATTTCCTCATAACTGTGTTGTGTGTTTGTTCATATATGTGTTTGAAGACTTTGACTGAAGACTTTCTCAATTTCCTTAGTTCAATTTCTTCAGTCTGTTTGTCTTCATCCTGTGTTATCCTGTGCTTATGCTTCCTGTACTCTGTGTTTGTCTTCATTTCATCATGATGACTATGCTTGTATTCTGTTATGTTTACTTTTGAGTACTTATTCCGCTGCTAGTAGTTCTTCGCTAAGGAATTTCCTCACCGGCAAATTCCTCAGTGAAGAATTTCATAAAAATCGCCTATTCACCCCCCTCTAGTCGATATAACGCACTTTCAATTGGTATCAGAGCGAGGTGCTCCCTTGTTCTGTGTGATTTTGGTTTAACCGCCTGGAGTTTTAGTTATGTCGACCGCAGGTATGAAGAAAGTGACATGCTCCATTTTTGACGGTCATGGGTATCCCAAATGGAAGGCCATGATGAAGAAGCGCCTCATGGCAATGAACAGCGAGCTGTGGACCGTCACTGAGATTTGTCTGACCGATCTGTGCAATATGGGGGAAGCAAATGACATTCTCAAGTACACTCTTCTCAACCTCACGGCGAAGGACGTCATCTGCTCCTGTCTGTCTCAAAATCAGTTCAGGAATATCATGCATCTCGATCATGCGAAGCTTATCTGGGACCGTCTCTCTGAGGTCTATGAAGGTCATCGAACCTGTCATGATCCTTGGTTTGAGGACTTTAAGGAATCTCTCAAAGTGATGACATTCGAACCAGAATCATCATCTTCTGCATCATGCCTTATGGCAAAAGATGCTAAGGTAACTGAATGCTACCTACCCGAGTCTAGTGATGATGAATCTGGTGATGAATTTGGACCCAGCTATGTCAAACTTGCTTCCCTTGCCACTAAACAAGAAAGAGCTTTGGAAATAGTTCATTACATGCTAAATAAGAGCGATGATATGTTGGGTGAAGAAATGGATCAGTCAAAAGCTTTGGCTGAAAGTCTTCACATACTTCATACCAAGTATGACACCCTTCAAGATCATCATAACACTCTCTTATCCGATCATCAGAAGCTTTCTTATAAATTTCTTCAAAGAAAGCAGGATCTTGAGAAGCTAAGAGTGAGTTATGAAGACCTTCAGAAGGAGCACGATTCATTATTTGCTCAACAAATCAACGCTTCTCAGGAAGAATTTGTTCCTCCATGCTTGAAGTGCATTGAACGTGAATCTGCTAATTCTTCACCTGAATGTTCAAATGCTGCTAATGTTTCAAATTCTTCACATGCCTCTGCTATCACTAATTCCTCATCTGAGGACATTGCTAGTATCACTGACAATGCAGGGCTGAAGAAATTGTACATGACAGGCATGTACAAAAGCCTCAAAGGGCATCAGACTCTTTGTGATGTGCTTAAAAAGCAGATCCTCAACAGGAACCCTAGGAAAGAGGGTATTGCTTTTGAGAGGAAACTCAATGCTGATGGTACATATTGGAAGCCTGAGCAGTACCCCAAAACTACATGGGTTGCTGCAAAGGGACCTCCAGTTGATCCATCTAACTTATCTGGATTTGCATGTGAATCTCCTCGTTCTGATGATGAGTCATTTGACTCCAACTATAAACTGTTCAAAAATCAGAATGATGAAGTATTTGCTAGATATGTTGGCACTAACTGCAGGAACGGTTCCCCTATGAAGAAAATCTGGGTTCCCAAAAGATGCCTTGAAAATCTTCAGGTGAATGTCATCATGATGCCACCTGTGAAGAATAGGAACCCCAGATCAAATTCTTCATATGGATCCAAGTCCTCATACGGACCAAACTCTTCACATGGATCATATTCCTCAAAAGGATCAAAGTCCTCATATGAACATCATCGTGCTAACCCGTCTATTTCGCAGGGAAGATCTAAGGATTATGGATATGTGCATTATTCTTCAAATCATTATGTCCATAAGTCCTCGAAGAATTTCTCTGCTTACTCTTATGCTTACTCTAACCCCTCTTATGTGAAACGAAATGGACTGGCTTCTATGCCAT